CTCTATTTCTAGATAGCTGTTATATCACACTGACAATTGTTTGCAAGTAGTGTGGAAGTAAAATCCAATACTTTGCTAACAGCTCTTAAACATTTCATTGGCAAAAAATTTTTTCTAAGCCTTACAGATTTTTCTGTAGACCCTTGCCTGAGTGTTGCTTTTGATTTCTGATTTTGTATTCTCCATTTACTTTCTTGTATCCTGCTCTTCCCTGCCCCCTATTCCTTTAGACTGATTCTTATTAGCTTTGAGGTTTCTTATTAACGTCCTAAAGCTTCTCTTGGAAAGATCCTGATTGTTCCTAGATACAGTGACTGTATTTTTACTTGAATCCTACTGGACTTAACTGTAAACCAGCAGCTGTCTTCCTTCCTGCCACTATTGCTTTGAAGGATAGTTCATACACGTGGTATCTGAAACATGATCCCTCTCTCATGACCTCCACTTATTCATAATACTTTTTGGGCTTAATTCTTCTCCCTTGCCATAAACCTATTACTTCCTACCAAATGATCACATCCTGAAATGGAATCCTGTCTAACAAAGAAGAAATATGCCAAGCTCCTCAAAGAGGGGATAAAAAAAAAAAGTTGGGTTCTACATGTTTTGGCCTATAGCCTCCCAAATCCTTTCAAATCGCTCTTACTGATGGGTATTTGTATCTGAAACCTTTGGAGGGATAACAAGTTTCAAAACTCTTGGCCTAAAATAATGGTTTGAAATAAACAGCACAATTCCTGGATTTTGGTTTTGGTTCAAGGGATAGGAAACATTTTTTTGTCAGTGATGAAAATGGGTTAGAAGGCAGTTACCACTTTTCTGAAGTTAGGGAACCATCTCACTAAGTCATAACAGACAGAAAATGGTCCTTATATGGATATCTTTTTACTGATAAAACCTCTTATTATTGTTACAATAAAAAAGAAAAAGAAATTGTTGCAATTAAACATAGTTGTGAATAGTGGCCGCAGGAAGTATTTTGCTTTGAGAACTCTGAAAAATGATTGTTGCTCTATTTGAGAATAATAATGACCAGCACGTAATAATGAAACTGTTCCATAGAATGGAAATATAATGTGGGAGATGTAATGTTTGAGCTACGTTGACAATTATTATGAATGTAGTGGGCAAAACATGAACCCTTCCATTAATGCAGATCTTCATGACCAGCAGTCACATCCTTCTTGCTATCACCGTGAACAGTTTAGCTGTAGCTACACCATTGTTCCTCACCCTGCAATATATTTGGAGCTGAAATTTGGCAAAAGTCAATCTAAACAAGTCCATAGTCTCTCCGAAGGTTTTCTCAGTACTAAGACTCAGCTGTGCTGTTGTAAACAAAAATGCTGCAGTTAGAGTGGGATCTCCTGTAAAAGAAGGCAGAATCTGACTGGCTTCATGCATTGAGCTAATCCTTAGAATAATTTGTTTGGTTTTAGCATATCAACCAAATTAATTATGGTTTATTCAGTAAACTGCATTTTAAAAAATCAAGAGTTTTCTGTCCCTTTTTGAATGAATGCTCCATTTCTGTTGGGGTATCAGTAAATGTGGAATCTCCCCTCTCTTTTAGATGGATTCCTTTCTAGTTAACATTGATATAAACTCAGAAGTCAATTCCATTCAATTTAGTGAGATTTACTCCCAAGAAAGGATTGTTGCTACAGTCAAGGTTCTGTAACTTGTTCTCTTCCACAAGTAAAAGTTGTTGTCCATATGGTATTATAGGAAAACAAATATCAGGAGGGTCAGTTGGCTTGGTAGTCTGGATCCTTTAATGTTCCAGAAATGTGTTTTTGGTTTGCCATGTGTTCCCAATATTTTTTAATAACCTTTTCTATGCTTGATATTGTATTTAGTATATACAGTTAAAAAAAGCAGATTGGACTATTTCAAAGTCACATTCATCTGTGGCTTGGCAAATAGCATAGTTTTTAAGCATGAAGTCAAGGTTATAAAAAGATTTTGTACAATACCTTTTCATAATATGTTTTCCTATTGTTTTCTACCATTTTGGAAGAATATGGCAAAATATATTCCAGATTAGACTGGAGCATTCCTAATAAAAGATAAAAGCAGATTGGACTATTTCAAAGTCACATTCATCTGTGGCTTGGCAAATAGCATAGTTTTTTAAAGATAAAAAAATAAGGTAAAAAACATGATCCAGGGTTTCTTGAGAATTGTGTTCCCTTTGAAGATCTTGAGAAATGTGTTCCCTTCTCTATCAGTAGGGGAAAAAAGTGGGGAAAAAAGCATGATTAAAAATATGAAGGAACAGGAGTAAGGTTTTTGGACAACAGAAAGTCAATCATTATTATACTGAATGCTTTTAATTTC